GAGGATTCAACATTGCCCGGGGATCCTGTCTTCAACCCCATTTGAGGTCCTGTACAGCTTGAGATCCAAAATCCTGCAATTCTATGGGCAAAGCTTTGTGAAAAGCAAGGATTATTTTACCCACTGTATTGTCACTTTGTTAAAGTTCCTCACTAACTTAAGTGCCAAAATTTACAATTATGCAGTGGTGATGGTTAAGAAACCAAGAAGGTCGTTTGTTTAGAGCAAAGACACACAGATCATGTGTAGATTAGTTTAATTAAGATATATAGTGAGAGTAATTCTCATATAAAAAATCTTGAGAGATTTTTCTCTTTTCTATTTTATCCTCTATCTCATTAATTAAATGTTCAAACGTAAACAACTTGACCACTGGACTGAAACTAATCTATTAATAAAGTGGCCTCCAGCAATGACACTCTCACGGTGGCGCTGAATAAACAAAAGCAAAAGTATCAGCACTTCAGGAGACACTTTTCAAAGGAGAAATTAATTATTTATTTTAGAATAATATACAAAATACTCTGACTTTATTCTTTTAGTAACGTATACATCTGAATGTATAACGCTCATGTAATTTTAATGTGATAACAGCTGACTCTTCATTTCAAAACCTTAGTCAGTCGCCTAAACCTAATGGAGCCCTGAGTTGAATAGCGATGAGCGCAAACCTGGCCCTGAGAGCTTTCACAGCACAAAGCTGACACAGAAAAGCACAGACAGAGGTGAGCCTGTGGGCTCTGGAGTCTGTGCTGAGTTTCAGCCTCAGTGCTAGTCCCTGACCAGCTCGTCTGAACCTTGAGGAACGTATGTGAACCCTCCGTGCCCCAGCTTTTCATCTACAAAACCAAGATGTTAATGTAACTCAGAGTTGTTGCAAGGTTAAATGCATTTATACACGGAAACGCAGAGCAGTGTCTGCCAGTGGCAAGTGCTCAATATATGTTCGTTGTTATTATTGTAATACACTACTTGCAGAAATAGAGCCAATAGCATTTGTACAGCATGCTATCCCAACTGAAGGGAAATATTCACATTTACTAAATATATTATCACCAACCGAGAAAATATACCAAGCTATATCCCAAAGTGACAATGATACTGACAATGGTACCGAAATTATAATCACAGACTACGGCCACATGTTGCAGAGTCCTGTATGTAACAGGCAGCAAGAGGGGACATTCTGCTGGAAGCTCTCTGAAGTTAATCTCATCCATCCATCTCAGAGCAGCAACTCCCCTGAGAACCAAGCATGACCTCCCAGCCTCCACTTCTCCTCAGCCTTCAACCTCGACACATGTTTCCGTGCTACCATCTCATATCGAAAATAAAAGCACTTCACACTAGGAGTTTTGTTCATGCTTTCTGCTTTCTGCCTTCCTAAGTTCTTATATTCCATACATTTCTCAGTAACAGTCCTAGGATTAATAATCATTATGAAGAAATTATCTTCCTAGTGTGTGTAATTCTAGCAATACTCATCAGGATAAAGAATGTTTATCAAATAAATGAAGGGGAATGAATTTTTTTTGGTGTGGGGGTATCTTACTTATTGATTTGCTTAAGTAACAAAAAAAATACTTGGCCTACAATTTGTTAGCAAATATCAAATGACAAAATGATACCATGAGTATATCCTTACATTTTCTATACTGAAATAAGTGATCTGGGCAAATAGCTGCTCAAGATCAATTAAGAGGATCTTTAGATGTGAGATGATGGCAGGAAAAAGTAAGGGCTGGGAAAATTTGCCACTGGACAAAATCTCTGGATGAATTTTATCTGGCCTGTAAAGCAGCCAGGGACCATATACAAGCCTGTGGTTGTAAAGATACCAAATGCTTTAAAAATGCTGACGTCAATGCTAAAGGTTATGCTCCCGCCTACTCAGGCCTCAGATGCCACAGAAATGGCCCCTTGCTACAAAATGGGTGCCATGTTGGAGGGAAGGAAGCTTCTGACCCGCTGTAGAGAAACAGACAGATGCTACTCAGGGTTGCCTGGGCACCGACTCTACTCCCTTCCAGAGACCACCCATCTCCCTCTCCCACCCGGGATGAGGATGCGATCTAGTTCGTTCTGCATTTGGCTCCTGAACCAGGCAGGTACCAGGTATCTCTAAGTTTGTGAAAATTATTCTGAATGGTGAAATAAGTCCTGGGGTGAGAGAACTGCGGTGCAGCACGGGAAGAGATTCTTGCGCTGGAAACATCACACTGTTGATGGTGTCACTCAGGGCTCAGTGCTCTTGCTAGAAGTCAGGGACCAAGGCAAGCTGGCTTCAGATACATTGCATTCGCTCCTATATGTTCACTTCATGACTGTCAATAAGATTCTTACCTTGGAGTTCATTATATTAGCAATTCAGTCCTCCCTTACAATGTTATGCCAAGCCATAAATTATCTTTTTATTTATGAATGCTATCTTCCGGAAGTCCGTGACTACTTGTTTTTTCCCTTGGTGAGGAAGACTGGCCATGAGCTAACATCTGTGCCAATCTTCCTCTATTTTGTATGTGGGACACTGCCACGGCCTGGCTGGATAACCAGTGTGTAGGTCTGCCCCTGGGATCCGAACCTGTGGACCCTGGGCTGCTGAAGCGGAGCGTGTGAATTTAACCACTATGGCACTGGGCTGGCCCCCATGACTACTTTTTGATGGAAAATATTTGAGGATGTTGAAAACATCAAGTTCCGGTTTAAGACTGAAATGCTTTTTATAAGAAATTCTCCCAAGTTGCCTAGTTTAAAAGTCCAAAACATCATAATACATTTTTTTCCTTTCTAAAAGGGTATCTCAGAACTTTAGTAAATGATGCTTTGCTTGTCCATCCTCAAAACCTGATTCTCCGCCCCATTTTTTGTTAATCTACTTTAATATTGAATTGATTTTTTTGCTGGTTGTCATTTTAATCTCTTGTCTTGGTTGCCAAACTAGTTTGGCTGCCATTTAGATTGTCCTCTCAAATCCAAAATATATTTTATTTAATAAATTTTATTTAATTACTTAATTCTACTGTCAGTAGCTTTTCCTGAAACTGAGTTATAGACCCCTGGTACGTATATTTATATTTCTCTACATCTATGTCATACATTCTTCCACCCACCACCCACGTGACAGCTTACCTAAACTACAGAGGAGTGGCACCACATGGAAACCCGCTGTAACCTAGCTCAGGTTTCTGAAGCACAGGTGTATCACCAGAGAGATAAAGGATCTACCTGTTCACACCAAGGTTTACAACACATTTTCTCAAGATTCATCATAGTTTTTGGCCAAACTGAATTGTTTAAAACAGAGATCACATCTGCCATTGTATTTCTCAATACTGAGAGATTTTATTCCAAGACTGCTTAAATGCCACTTTCTCAGTTAAGCTTTTTTTGTCCCCACAGACTACTTTCCATTCTCATTCCATACCATTCTTTTCTTTGTAGTATTTTCCAAGTATATTTAAATAATTATTAGCGGAATAATTTATTTACTGTCTGTCACACTATCAGATGATAACCCCACTAGGGCAAAGATCACATCATTTTGTTTATTCTATGTCCCCAATACCAGCATGGCGCTTGCTACATACTAAGTCCTCAATGAAGGTTTGGAGCATTGGTGAGTGGATGAGGTTGAAGACAGTGTTTTAATTTTTGAGGAAGATTAGCCCTGAGGTAATATCTGCCACCAATCTTCTTTTTGCTGAGGAAGACTGGCCCTGAGCTAACATCTGCCGCCAATCTTCTTTTTGCTGAGGAAGACTGGCCCTGAGCTAATATCTGCCGCCAATCCTCCTCTTTTTGCTGAGGAAGACTGGCCCTGAGCTAACATCTGTGCTGAAATTCTCAGTTTTATATGTGGGATGCAGCCACAGCCTGGCTTGATAAGCAGTGCGTAGGTCCATGCCTAGGATCCGAACCAGTGAACCCTGGGCCACTGAAGCAGAGTGCACAAACTTAACCACTACACCACTGGGCAGGCCCTGGAGACACTTTTATAGGTTGCAAATTTAAAACAAAAAGAAGAAGAAGGTTATGTTTTATCGCTGCATTTTTCTTCTGTTTGGTGAATTTGGGTAATCATGAAATGACTTTTCCTTTAGGGCTACAGATTTATAGAAGAAAAACAACTCAAATATGCAAAGTGCTCAGCAAATGTTTAACTCCCATTTGGAAAGGGTGTTGGCACTGGTTACGGCAGGGTTTTAAAGTGAGAGAAAGCTCTGTGTTCGATACTGACAGGGTACTTTGGGCACTGTTTTGCTATTAACTCCCAGAGAGAAAATGCTGCCATCAATGCATGCAGTGACTGCCTACCAAGTTTATAAGGCAGGCAACTTGGCTTCACAATGTGTATCAAAAAGCCCCTGCTTCAAACTAATTATAATCTGGGAAGTTACAGGAATGCTAACTATAGGAAAAGCTAACCAGAAAAAAGAAGTAAATGATAAGCATAACGGCAAATGATTGGTATTGCAGGCATTCCGAGAAGGACTACCAACAGAAGCCTTCACGGAACAGACGGGGGAGGGTCCAGTCCATTTGGATGGGCAGAGAAAAGGGAGACAAGTATTCCAGGTGGAAAGAAGTGTGTGGGCAATCATGTGCAGAAAGGGAAAGCCAAAAGGTGTTCGTGGCAAGGAGCAGAACAGTTTGGCTAAAGTGAAGGGCTCCACCAGAAAGAGGTGGAGAGACAGGTCTTAATGGTAGATCAACCCAGGAAGCGACATCAAAAGGAAGGAGCTGGGGAGTAGGGGCGTTCTCCTGCAGCTTCTGTGAAGCCCCGCACTGACACGTGGCGTAATCAGAGCAACATCAAATATTCAATGATGATAATATCTTAATACTGCATAGCATTTTGTTTCAAAGCAATTTCATCTACTATTCACAAAAGAAAACTTTTTTCTCATCTTACAGAGATGTCACCTCATGTCAGTGAATTTAGATGAGTTAGTTGTTTAATGGTAGAGCTGTGATTCAAATCTGCATCTTTTCTCCGGCAGCTGGCAGGAGTCAGCAGGAGTTGTCAGAGTGAGGGAAGAGAAGCAAAGGGATGGGTGAGTTGTTCGCCTATGCCCATGCAGACGAGAAAGGATAAGAATCGAAGGAATTAATGTGGGCCACACCAAGGGATGGGACACTGACAGTCCTCACCACTTTCTGGAAGCTGCTTCAGGTTGCAGGCAAGGATGAACTCCTAACCAGAGCTCTTGGACATTTAGCCGATCCCACAACTATCACCTGTTTTAAGATGGTGGAATAAAACAATTTTTCTCCTCCTTTCATTTGCTAGAGAGCTATTATGCTGCTTTAATTCTCAGGAGATTTAAAAATCAAACCATACTGTAACTGTTAGCTTATAATTCCAGAGGCCTCTATGATCATCTGTTTCTAAGAATCAAAAGGTTAGCTCACAGATTCTTCACTGCAGTCTTTCTACTGATTGTGTTTTGAAGGTCCTTGCAACCCAGTTTTACTGCACTGCCTTCTGAAATTCTAGTTAACATTTATTTTATTCAAATACAGTAACCCTCACTTCAGCAGTGAATAACTGACTCCCACCCCCACATAGTGTACACAGTGTTAGCACAATAGCTTTAAAGTGCTGCAGAGAATTACACAAAAGTCTTTTGAAATTATGCTCAAGCCGAAGAATATATCTTTCTTCTTCCTATCAGTTTATCTTTTTCTCTCGGGAGAAGTTTTTCTTTTATGAAAAGCTTCCCAAAATGAAACACTTCTATCCCCTTCCTGAGAGATTATGATCTACTCTAAAGGCAAGAGAAGCCAGTGAAAGCACTGAAAATTCAAAGACAGCATGCACTGACGTCTACTGTGCTGTTTACGATTGTACCTTGTTAAATCAGAACCATAGACAAAGAAGCAATGCACGAGAAAGAGCTATTGGTCTCAACGAGTCTGTTTTTACAGAGTGAAATCTCAGTTTTCTTCTTTTTTTTTTTACTGTGTAGACTTTTTAATACTTATTCAAAAACTTGCAAGTATAGTACAGGCTACTTAGTAATCAGTCTCTGTCAAGAAAATTACTTGTTGGGCACTCCCTTCAATTAAGTGTAATAGAAAAGAAAATTTTAATGCCATAAAAGGATAAAAACATAAGTTCATATTTTACATACTTTTGGTAAATGAGAGGATCACAATGGACATGCAAGATGCCCTGCTGAGTCCTTGTGTCTCTTACAGGTGCCCCAGAGGAACTTACTCACGGATCCAAGACGGAGAGCCCTCAGCCAATCAAAGGGAATTAGCTCTTTTTGGTTTTATACAAAAAGCTTCAAGATTCACTTTTTTTGGGGGAAAAAGTGTTTGTTGCTTAAAAATAAAAAAAAATCAAAACCACTGGCCTTGATTTTATTCTTCCCTCTTTCTAATGAAACGTTAACCATCCTTTAATGTCCAGATCATATTTACCTTAAACAAGGCTGGAGAATGACCATTCTAGAAAATCACCCCTTGTTGAATGAATACAGTGTTTGCCTCTCTTAGTTTTACTTATTGACTTTGTGTCTTATATTTTTATTAAATCACCCAAAAGTCTCACTTTGTCAACCGGCTTCTCAGCACTTGGCACACTGAGAACATGTTTTATTTTACTCTGCATGCTTCTTGCCACAGAGTACTAAAGGCAGCACCTCTTTTCTAGGAATGAGGCAACTAGAAAAGTGGGGACAACTGTCCCTTGCCCCCTGCCATCCAGTGACCAATACCGACTAGGGTTAATGACTTTTTCACATTTTATCACTGACTCTGCAACACTGCACATCATTTCCAAATAAAGAGATGACCCTGACGGAAGAAGGCAAGCTGGCCCTCCCTCCTGCTCTCTTCCTTGGGGTCAGTAATCACGCCCTCTCCCAGTGCAGTCACTGTCAACCCTGTGTACACCAGAAGCTCCCGGAAGAACAGTTAAAAGGAATAGTGCCTGGGTCCCACCTCAGACGAGCTGACACTGCAGCTCTGAAGACAGTCACGAAATTTGACTCAAACAACAAACACAAAAGAAAGTTGAAAAAGAATGGGTAAAAATGCTTAATTAAAACCAGACCAAAATAAAACAGCTTAAGAATTATTGTACCTACTATACAAGACTGCCCGAGGGATTGGAAACCACTCACCTTTGTTATTGTATACATCTAAGTAATTTGGTGCTGAAAAAATTGTAATGAGAGAAGGGAAGCCTGTTGTTTGGCTTTTCCTGTACATGCGATACCTAAAAAGAACACACACAAGTTAAAACAAGGCTAGCATGATATCATGGATGATATCAAATTATAGATTTAGAAATAGAAATTTAAATGAGTTAAGCTTTATCATTCGAAGAGGATCCAATTACATAACACTAAAATTTTTTTCTCTCTGAAGTCTGTCATACACAGACATTCATTCATTTGCAGGGCTCCAACACTCCAACATATGTACAGTTTCCCAATAGAAGTCTCCAACGGTTAGGAGTGCTAGGGTGGGCTTCAGTGAAATCGCATCTCAGTTCCACATGTTCCACAGCGAGGACACAGGCTACTTTTTGTACAAAGATACCCTGTACCCACCTTGTTTTTCAAAAGTTTACCAATATTTTTGACATTAAAAAGACTGAATTAGCAGAATAATACATAACCCTTTCCCTGATTATTCAATACACCCACGATGTTATCTCAGTTATATGCATCCACAAGTAGCTCTGCCTAGACTGAGTGATGTACTTTTCAAAGAATGTCTGGTTAAATGTACGGGTTTTATGAATTGAAATTGCTTCTATTTTAGAATTTTATTTATTACCATTCTCTGCTGATGTCTGCAGGTCAAAGATTATTGTCTCGGCAGGGTAATATTTAATCAATCAGTAATGAAATAGAACATCTGTAGGATCTTTGGAAAGAAACCAATAATCTAGTTACTTTTCTCCTACTAAGACAAAAATAAGACTCTAGTCCTCAAATAATCAAAAAATACGGGAGACTTTGGGCTCTTTTCCATCAGGGGGAAAACGAATCTCATGACTTTTGTGTAATAGATTTCAGGAGTATCAGTTTAGAAACATTCTTATAAAATGCAAAACAGAATGGCATCATTTCTTGGGGATTCTCTGTCAGCTACTTCTGGCAAACTAACCATTCTAATTTAGCTGAGTTCTAAATGTGCGCAAATAGTACCTTTAGATGGATAAATAGACATTTTAAAATTTATAATTTTACAAATATTTTGATACCACTTTTCTCAGAAGAAAATATCCCTTCGAAAATCTTTCGAAATGTTCTAGAAGTATTTATTCTGCTTATGGGACTGAGCTTTCTTGGGGGGAAAACAATCAGAACGTGAAAGACATTAATACTCTTAATCCGAGTGCCTTGATTTTACAAACCTGGCTATGCCTACTTTACAACAAGTAGAAAGAGAGAAATCGGATGATGTATATAATCTCAATCTTCCCCAATGAATCAATCAACGACTCATTTTAAATAAAAATATTTGTTGATTTTAATTGATGCACTTAACATACTTTCAAATAAGCAGACGGTTTCAGGTCTGTAGTGGATTTAAGATAAAGCTGCCTAAAATGTTCAGCTGGGACAGTCAGTAAAAAAAACATGGTGAGACCACTGCCCTGAAAAGTGCAAACATTATTTGAGGACCTGGGTGGTGGGTAGATCAAGAGGTTACTTCAAACATCAGCGAGGGCAGCAGTGAGCACACACCGCTGGGTCACTTCAGACCTGTGGATCGCTTGCTTGAAAAAATCTAATTCTGAAAGGCACTTGGGGGGTGCCTTGATTCAGGGGCCCGCCTCAGAAGGCAGGCATCCACGTTCCCAATTTCAGCACCCAGGCTAGAAAAGTGAGTGCGCCTCCTTTTCGGAGAATCCAAAATATAAGGAACTGAGTTTAAACATTTGGAGGCAAACAGCGCCTTTCAGGGCAGCCTGCTGGGCAAGGCAGTGGACTTCCAATCTTAAAATTACTTCCATCTATTTCTCCCGAATGCAGACTCAATGCTCCATTAAAGAGGATATCGGATGTTTCTCAGTTTTCTAAACCCTTAAATTGGTCTATATTTTAAAAATTTACCAGATATTAAAAAATCATGTTATGCATTTGTTAGTTAGAACAGAGGATTTTCCCCATCATTTTACTGTCTGTTTTTGTCCTTTCAAACTTTACAGGGATTAGCAATAATATTCTTTAAACAAGAGCACAACCTGCTATAGCTGTTAAATATTGATGTGTAATGCTCATTCACGTTGCCAACCAAGACTGAAAAGTAGCTGGTAATTACCCACTTATGGACACTGGGAAGAGCAAGAATGGAAAGAAATAAGAGAAGCTGCCCTTACGGTGTGTCAGGAAGCCAGCTGAACATCTACCTGTTCAAGCTGAAAATGGAAGAACTTACGGGGATTTTCCAGCACATCTGCAGCCACTCATTCCCCGGGACCCTGCCAGATCTGTGTTGTCAGGAGACAACTTCAAGATCTATTCCTTCTGGGAGAGAGCCTGGCAAAAGGGAACCTTGACAGCTGGAGCAGAGTGAAGGGGTTGTAACAACGGGGCCATGTGTGGTTGTCAGAAACCCACAAAACTGCTCACCCGGCATCCTGGGCTTCATGCGCTCGGAGAATAGACAACAAGTTATTGTGCTGTAAGAATTCACAAACAGCCGGGTAACTGCCGGAGACAAAAAGAAAAGAGAGGCACCTGTTAGGAAATCATCAAGAGTAGCACATTTATCTCTAACTTCCAGCCCTATGTGATTTGATCAAGCATAATCAAACATACATCATTCACAAAACAAGCCTCTTGGCTCTAAGGGCAGGTTTGTCTCTGTGGCAGAAAAAGCACCTACAGCTATACTTTCTACATAAGCAGAAAGGAACGGAGGTGTGTGAACTGGAAAAAGAACCCAGGCGACTGCACCGCAACACTGGAAGAGGGTTCACTCTGAGAAAATCAGTATCACCAGGTCTACATTTAAGCATAAAGTGAACAGACGCATAAATAGAACATGAGAATGGAATTTAAAACATAAACCTCAATTTTCTCAAATACAGCACTATTTGTGTGGGAGAAAGCAGGACTTCTGGGAAATCAAGTTATCAACTTACTTATGGATACATTAACGGATTATGTCATGCAAAATCTGAACAGAATTCTGGAATTCACAAGGTTTTAAAACGCGTACTTGAAATAAGATCAACAGAACTTTATCTTAAGGCTTGTCGTTTATCTTAATAAAAATATCAAATACACAATCAAGATGATTTTGTCTGTTAAGAAAGAGTCAAAGCCAAAGATAAGAATTTCATTAAAAATGAAATTCAATTTCAAACTAAACTTGAAAAACCCTTTGCAATCTCTTTGTCTCTGCTCTAAGAATTTGTAATGAGATAAATGTGTGTCATAAAAATGAATAAATTTTAAGTAGTTCAAATCAAGGGACAGCAAACCAATGCTCGTTATCATGTGAACACACTACAGATGTCTGCCAGCACCTAAATTACACACACCATAGGAAACAATCCAGCAATTACAAAAACGGCACTTTGGGGAAATAATAGTATATGTCACTCAAATAATTTATTATAAAAGAGAAGATGAAAATAGTTTCTATGCTGTAGATTTTGGAAGAATTTCTTGATCAACAGAACAAACATCATTAAGATGGCATACAGGTGATTGTAAAAAGGACTCAGTTTCAGTTCTTTGGCAAAAATAGGATCTGAAACCAAAAATAGTCTTTGTGCATGTGTGTACATTTGTGTGCTTGTGTGTACATTTGTGTGCATGTGTGTGAGTGTTCTGAAACATCCTAGCAGTTTGCTGGGCAGAGAGAAAGAGGAGACATACCTGAGGCCTCCACTTACAGGTGTCCAAGGTCTGCCCAGTAAGTAAACCAGCTAACTGATGAACATTAGTGTATCTTACAAACCAGAGAAGATGCCCAGAGTGCCCACATGGTAATGCAGCCATATGCTCCCTAGATCAAGAGCTGACCAACATGTGTCTTCAAAGGCTTCTGCTCTATTTTAGGAGAAGATGAGTATATGACCTTTGCAGATCACTGTGTGTCAGCAAAAGAAGTCTTAACTTCAGAGACACTGGCTGGTCTTTAAAAAATGGCACCTTTATTTGATACATATTTAGCTATAAGGAGTGACATGGAGTAGGGGTGCACTCAATAAATGCTCCTTCCCTATCTCTTTAGGCCATTTACTTATATTTCTCAGTCCTTGCAATGCCTCTTTACAAAAGACAGTTTACTGTCTTCTTGTGCCTCTGTAAGATGGAGGCTGTTTGTCTATGGTTGTCATGGTTTTGCCTTTGGGCAAATGGCTTGGCTGCTCTTTTTCATTTCTTCCTTCCTTTTGGAAGAACTTACACTAGTCTTACGAAGGCATAATTTTAATATATTGTCTTCACACTAAGTTTGAAACCCTTATATGTTTAAGCTAAGTTTTCCCCCATGGACATACACATCTGATTTTTAATGGGAATCTGAAGAAAATAAAATTAAACTGGCAGCAATCTGCTAGGTTTACAGCATTAAGTGAGGCACACTTGTATTATTACTTGGAGGAAACTCATTTTGAAGAAAATCTTTAGAAATTTAAAAGTATGCATAACCAAATATTCAAACTTTCTAAGAACTGCAAACATTTTTCTAAAGAAATTTAGAAAATGCTTGAATATCATCTAGATTTCCGTTACTGGTGAACGACTTACCAAGGATACATTAAAATCTCCAATAATGTTAGGAAAAAACCCTCTACAACATTTTTAAACTTTTTAATGGAAATGATGGTAAACCACAGTGTTTAAGCTGAAAAGCATTAAAAAAGATCTATGTAGGGGCCGGCCCGGTGGTGCAGCGGTTAAGTCCGCACGTTCCGCTTTGGCAGCCTGGGGTTCGCCAGTTCGGATCCCGGGTGAGGACATGGCACTGCTTGGCATGCCATGCTGTGGTAGGCATCCCACATATAAAGTAGAGGAAGATGGGCATGGGTGTTAGCTCAGGGCCAGTCTTCCTCAGCAAAAAGAGGAGGATTGGCAGCAGATGTTTGCTCAGGGCTGATGTTCCTCAAAAAAAAAAAAAAAAAAGATGTAGAATGGTAGGAAAA